TTTGCAACTTTTTGAGAAAGCGCCATACCGCTTTCCACAGGGGTTGCACCATTTTACACTCCTACCAACAGTGAATAAGGGTTCCAGTTTCTCCACAACCTCGCCAGCATTTGTTGCTTGGAAATACTCTTTTGAAGATGAATGCAGCACTGCGCCTTTTCAACTTCTCATTCTCAGAATAATAGATTACATATTTGTCCAGTTTGAATTGACTAATACTAGCCTATTTCAGCATATTAATAACTACATTAATAATGCATTCCATTTCCTTTTTGACAACTTCTGATTGTCCTAGATTCATTCTGTATTCTGCATTCTGATTAATGAATGTTTCAGCTCTTCTCATTTTCAGTCATGGTTGCTGTTCGTTGTTGTTGAATACTGGAAAGTTGGAACTGACCCTTAGCTCCAGCAGGTTTTCAATGGTACATAATTGCAAAGCAGGAGATTGTCCATCCTTCTCCTGCAGAGCAGCTGGTGCATTAGAACCATGGTGATTCAAGATTGTAGCACAGTCATGGGTGACTCTGCTGGTATTTGAAATACCAGTGGTATAGCTTTCAGTATCACAGGAACACACATCCCAAGAAGAGTATAGCAAACTGGCAGATTAGTGGTGGAGAATTTGTGTAGATTGTCTTCATGTGCCAGAAGAGTTTTATATGACCTCTGACAGTAGATTTTTATCAGACTGAGCCAACTGATTCTCAAAATGTGCATACAATGTGGTTATGTGTGACTTGACTACAGTTTTCCCATTTTATTCAGAGGCAACCTCCTCCAATGTAGGACAGTAGGAATGATTTAGAAAATATTAGGTGCATCCCCAGTAGTAAGTCAACAGGGACTTTGTAAGTAGGAGTAAAAGTATGGGCCATAGTTAGATAGTAGTTGCCGCAGATAGACATAGAAGGACATCATGCTCATAACAGTGGAGAGACAGCATAGGAGAGGAAGACCCCAGATGAGATGGATTGACACAGTCACTGGGGTAATAGGCTTAGGTGTGTCAGAGTCAGTGGACTGGCTCAGGATAGGGTTCAGAGCTAATGTACATAGAGTCGTTATGAGTTACAGGGGTTTCGATGGCACATAACACCCAACACCACTATAGTGGTAACTTATTTCCAAGTGCTTAAATCACTTAACTTAATTTGAACTCTATTTTTTTGTTGTTCTTATATACTATCAAGTTGGAACTGATTTCATAGCTGACCCTCTGGTGAGTTTTCAGAGACAGTTCATTGCATGAGAGGAGATTGCCCATCCTTCTTCCATGGAGCAACTGATGGATTTGAACTACCTGCCTTCAGAATTGCAGTGCAGTTTCTTACCACTAGGCCACCAGTGCTCCCTTAACCCTATAATAGTAGATAACATTTATATTGAGTATTTGCTATGTATTAGCCCTATTTGCTATGTTATTTATAATACTTATACCTCAATTAATTATGTGGTATCATTTGCAAAGATGCTAAATGATTTACTCAGAGTAGGTGGTTTCAATCCATCTACTGTGACTGTAGAAATTGTACTGCTAATTAATCACAGTCCTCAGAGAGATTGTGGCCTTGGTTCCAGAGCACTGCAGTAAAGTGGATATTGCAATAAAGCTAGTCATACAATTTTTTTTTCCAGTGCACATAAAAAGTACGTTTACACTCTACTTCAGTCAGAGAAGCCTGGTGGCTTAGTTGTAAGGAGTTGTGCTGCGAACTTGAAGTTTGATCCACCAGCTACTCCATAGAAGATAGATGGACAGATCCCCCTGGATGATTTACAGCCTCTGAAAACCCACTAGAGGATCAGCTGTGAATCAATTCCAACTTGACGGTGTATAACAACAGCAATGTACTATATAGTCTGTTAAGTGTACAATAGTGCTATGAAAAATGTAAAATACTATGAGAATTGTCAAAATGTGAGTGACACAGACACATAGTTGAGACCATCCTATTGGAAAAGGGGAAAAAACAAACAAAAAACCTATTGGTTGATGCAGGCTGAGGGGGTTTTAAGCCCAACTTTAGAGCCTACAACTTTGTTTTAATTGTGGCAAAAGTATACATTATAAAACATACACCATCTCAGCAATCTCTACATGTATAAGTGAAATACAATGTTATAGTGTATATCTGTGGCATTTTAAGGGAACTTTGTTCATGTAATCCATAGAAAGTTGGACTGCTAACCCGAAGGTGGCATCTCTCTGATGGTTGGAATCCACCAGAATCAACTGCAGGCGAAATATGAACAGTACCATCCCACAAGCTTTACAGCCCAGGAAACATTCTCTGGGGTCAGCTGTGAATCAGTTCTGATTTGATGGCAATGAAAGGGAAAGAATAACATTTTATTCTAAGAATTAGGTCTCATTGTTTTTAATATCTCTTGGGCTGCCAAAAGAACAGATGAGTCTGTCTTGGAGGAAGTACAATCGTTAGAGACCAGGGTGGGGAAACGTGGCCTCACATACTTTGGGATGTCAGGAGGGGCAACTCCTTGAAAAAAGGACATCATACTGGTAAAGGTAGAGGGTCAGTGAAGGAAAAGAAAACCCTCAAGTCAACACAGTGACTGTAACAATGGGGTTGAGCATATCAGAGATTATGAAGATGCAACAGGATAGGGCAAAGTTCCAGTACCTTCCTAGGGTCACCTCCTGTGTTCCTATGAGTGTAGTCAACTTGATGGCACTTAAAACCCACCACTACCGTAATAAGGTTTTTCTTTGCTATATTTGGAAAGAGGTCTTTTTTTGGTTATACAACAAAAACGTTGATCATGTGTAAAACGAATTTTAATTTCTTAGTTGATTTTTGTATTGTCTTAGGTATTAAAAAGAACTCAATTACAAATTACCAGAACCCAGCAGAGAGTGTGAATACCAGCACAAACATACCAAATTATGGTGAAACCTCCCCAGATGCCATCAGTACAAACTCAGAGGGTGCTCAAGACCACCATGACCTGGTAATTATATCCAAGAGTCTGTGAAGAGAAATGCTAATCAAGTTTTATTTTTTTAAATATTCATTATGTATGTATATTTTAGCACTTTAATACAGAAAATTTATTAACTAATTGTGGATAATTTACTTGGTTTCTTGTAGTCTTGAACATGCCTTCTTCCCTTTCTTGGAATTGTTTTTCTTTACATATTTCTTTTCTAAAATTGTTTTATTATCAGTTTGTGTGGGAAGTTTGTTCTCTTTTCCAACTTTCCTTACTTTTTCACCTTATATTTTAGTTCATTTATTTTGAAAAAGTTTAATGGCTAGGAAGGTGACCACACCTTGAGACTTTCTATAAAAGAAAAATGTTTACTGATTTATTTTAAGCTCACCTCTGGTGGTCTAGTGAGTTCATCAGTTGTGCCTCAGAAGAAAGATGACAGTCTCCTATGTAATTTATAGCCTCTGAAAACCCACAGAAGGGTCAGTTCCAACTTCATGGCAATGTTGTTGTTGCTATTAAGTGCCACTGAGTCGTAGATGACTCATAGTGACCCTATGAATGAAAGACCTGAACACTTACATAACTTTCATCATTTCTCTAAGTTCATCGAGTTTCCAGAGGCAATTTATTTAGAAAGTAGATGCCACTTCTGCTTCCACGCCTGTTTTAATCTGGAAGCTCCACTAAACACTGTCCACCATGGACAGCCATTATCACATTTAATACATTAGTGTCACAGTGTTTAGCATCACAACAATCATGAGCTACCCCTGTACAGCAAACTGACAGACCAGTGCCATCCCACTTAGAAGAATGTTGGACCAAAAACAAAACCAGGTCTGAGGGGCCCAAATGCCTTTTTAAATGTGAGACCAGATCCAATCAGCACACACCCAATTGTGAACAAACATTCCACACCCAAGTTTCAAACAAAACCAGAAAACACACTTTGTAGAATTTGGGTGCTCCACTCATCTTCCCAAACTGAATTCCAGCCCCAAACTGGCAACCAAATATTATGGCAATAAGTGTTTCTGGGGTTTTTTTTTATGATTTTATCCTGGTAATGTAGTACATTATATGTTATATTGCTAACCAAAAGATCAGTGGTTTGAATCCACTAGTTACTCCAAGGAAGAGAGATGGGCAGTTGCCTCCCATCAAGTGAAGTTGCCTCCCAAAACCCAATGAAGGGTCCCTTGAGTCTGAACTGATTGGACGGCAGAGAGTTTGGGATCTTGTCTGTTTAACTCGGTAAAGTATTCTTATAGGAGGCTTAGAAAATAATTATGTTTCCCTTTTAGTGGTGGTATAATTCATATGGAGATGTGCTGCTAGGCCAAAGATTGTCCCTCCCTGGAGGTTTAAATCCTCCAGCAGCCCCTCAGGACAAACATAGGAAATCTTCCATGAGATTTATAGCCTCAGAAAACTCTCTGGAGTTTCAGCTATAAACTTTTTGTGTGTGTATATGTGTGTGATCATTTTCACTTTATTAAAGAATGTCTTCTGTTTTTTGTTTTCTCAGTGAAAAACGCTTACTTGGAAATATCATACGGTGTGTCTTTATAGCTTGGGGAGTATAGTGTATGGACTTGGATAAATGTAAAGAAAAGAAAATGAAATTTTCATGTACTTTTTGTCAGAAGTCCATATTTTGTGTTGTGTGGTCTCAATTTTCTTTTTAGAAGTTATGAAAGTTTCCTGCATTAAGTTTTGAAGTTTGTATACTAATATTACTTATACAATTATTCATAGATGTCAGTTGTGGTGTTTAAAATTGCTGGTGTTAGTGGAGAAATGGACATCCGAGGAGAAGATACTGAAATCTGCCTTCAAGTGAACCAAGTGACGCCAGATCAGTTAGGGAACATCAGCTTCCGGCATTACCTTGGTCAGCGTTCAGTAGGTAAAACATGTGTTCTTTGTACTAGCCTTATGGGGTTTTTTAAAAAGTAATAGGATTTAAATTTTTATTTATTATACATGTATTATGAATATATATTATTCATCAGTTCTATCTTTGACATAACTGAATTAAGAGAAAATTTTATATATATATATATATATGTATATGTATATGTATATATAAATAAATAAAAATAGTAATCATGGACATTTGAAAGATTTTGAACGTATTTCTTAAGGTGACTTTATTTCCATGCCTGATTTTTATTAGGTTATTAGACCTGTAGAATTTGTTGAAGGTATATCCTTTACATTCTTTTTTATTATGCTAATGTTAAGTTCATAGTCATACTTTTTTAGTTTTTCCATTCATTGAATTAATGGATCTAAAAATCCTGAGCTCTTTCTGCATGAAAAGAGTGATTAAGTCATCCTATAAGGTCAAATTGAGTTTCATCCTGGAATAAATCTCAGTCTCTATTCTGTTGTCTTCTTATAAGCAAACGTTTTCTATGCTGGCATGTTACTTGGTAATTGGGAAAAAACACTATGTATCTTATTCTTACAGTACTTCATTCTAAGATCACCAGGTTGGCTTAGACAGAGATTTAAATAATATATACTGTGTGAAGTGAGTGTTATGTACCAGTTGGAACCCACTCATAGCTGTCCCTCTAGAAAGTTTTCAGAGGCTGTAAATCACACAGGAAGATTACCCATCTTTCTCATGTGAAGCAGCTGCTGTGTTTGAACCCTGTACCTTTAGGTTAGCAGCTCAACTCCTTACCACTAAGCCATTAATCCATCCTCCTTTCATTCATTTGAAGAAATGAATTTATCTTTAGGAAAATAGTTGTATTAAAGAATAACAGTGATTAGGTTTTGTTGGGGGTTTATTTTTCATCTTTTGCAAAGTAATTGAGCTATATAATTTTATTTGCTATATAGAGTATGATATCTTGTGCCTACCATGTTAAAATAGATAGAACCCCACATCATTTAATTATTCTGTCCTAAAATCCTGAGAACTGTAGGTAAATGTGTCATTTGTCCATGGCCAGCATCATAGGAGAAATTTTGGGGAGAATTTTTTGTTGTATTCTAACTTACAATGTAAGACAGAGTAAAACTGCCTCCCAAGGTTTCCAAGGCCATGACCTTCTGGGAGTAGATTGCAAGGTGCTCCCTCTACCCCAGGAGCATCTGGTGAGTTCAGACCACCAGCTTTCTGGTTAGCAGCTGACTGTTTAACCATTTTGCTGCCAGAACTTGTAAAACCATCTGAGAATTTTATATTTTTGTTATGTGCCGTCGAGTTGCCCGTGGCCCTATGTACAACAGCCCTAAACCCTGCTCTAGCCTATGCCAATGGCACAATCGTGTGTGTCTCTGACACACCTACCCTAATTACCCCAGTCACTGAATCAATCCACCTCATAGAAGGTCTTCCTCTCCTGCGCCTGCCCTCCACCCTCCCAAGCATGACATCCGTCTCCAAGGACCTGTCCCTCCTTCCACATGTCCAAAGTATGTCAGACAAAGCTTCAGAATCCTTGCCTCCAAGGAGCAGCCTGGTTTCACCCTCTCTAGGATGAACCTGTTCATTTTCTTAGCAGTCCATGGTATATTCAATACTCTTCTCCAACACCACAGCTCAAAGGCATCAATTCTCCTTCTATCCTCCCTAGTCATTGTCCAGCTTTCTGACACATAGCAAGTGATTTGCAAAGACCATGTCCTTTATCAGGCCCACCTTAGTCTTTAGAGTGACACCATTGCTCTTCAGCACTTTGGAGAGATTCCTACCAGCAGACTTTCCCATCACAATATGTCTATTGATTTCTTGGCTGCTGGTGCCAAGGGTGTTGACTGTGGAGCCAAGCAAACTATAGCTGTTAACAGTCTCATTAGCAAGTCTAAATTCCAGTAGCATGCAACATGGGAGAAGCTAAATAAGAGTATAGAAAGATTTCATGTTGCTAGGTGCCATAGTAGAAGGGGAAAGAAGATTTCAAAACCTAGACCCAGTTAAACACTTTCTAATATATATACTCCTAGATTATTTCAATTTGCGTAACTTTTCCATTACTCTTCATGTCTCATTCAGAGCCATGGATTATTAGATTGTTTGATTTTGTTACTAACTGAAGAAATCATTCGAAAGTTTCTAATGTATGATTTACAGTGTCAGTGCAGCTAATACTCTTTTTTCCCCCCTAAGTATCTTAACTTGTTTAAAGAGAAACAAAAGAAAAGATGGGAATGGGAAAGAGTAGAAAAAACAACAGCACAGCCTGGAGCGTTCAAACAGTAAACCGTATTAATGAAGATAGTGTTTGAACTATAGTTTATATACACTGCAGTCTCTCAAACATGAACAATTAATACAGTTAAATGCTTTTGTTTAATTTGTTTTTCTGTTTATTGTTGTATTTGGATGTTTTGGGTCCAGTGGTTAAGTGTTTGGCTGTTAATTGAAAGGTTAATGGTTTGAGGCAGCAGTTTACTCGCGGGGGTGGTGGGGAATGTGTCCGTCTACTGCTGTAAAAATTTATTGTTGTCAGATGCCATCCAGCTGGTGTCAACTCCTCTCAGCCCTCTTTACAACGGAATGAAAACTTGCCTGGTCATGTATCAGCCTCAGACCATTGCTGTGCGTGAGCCGATTGTTGCACCCACTGTGTGAATCCAGTTGTTGAAAGTCTCCTTCATTTTCTCTGACCCTCATGTCCACCACCCATGATGTCCTTCTCCAGCGACTGACCTCTCCTGATCGCATGCCCAAAGTATGTGAGACGGCATCTGACTATTCTCACGTCTAAGGAGCATTCTGGCTGCCTTGGAAAAACCTGTGGGCCAGTTCTACTCTCTTTATAGTGTCAGTATGCTTCTAACTTGACTCAGTGGTCATAGACAGAATAAGAAGACTTTAGTACTTCCAGGGCATAATAGCCTAAGAAACCCAATGGGGAATCATCATTAAAGTTGGATCCAGATTCATGGCATACTCTCTAATCCATTGTGTGTGCTTCTGTTCTACTCATCACTTTGCTCAAGCTTTGGGATTGTGGCCTTGAAAAACTCTTCAGTAATGGTGGCCTAGTGGCAAGAAGCTGTGCTGCAATCCTGAAGGCACCTGGTTTGAGGCCAACAGCGGCTCTGTCTGTGGGAGAGAGATGGGTAATCTCCTCCCGTGTAGTTAACTGCCTCTGAAAACCCACTGGATGGGTTGGTTCTGTCAGTGGTACACAACAACAACAGTGGCATTGGATAATGAACTTTATTATTACAAATATCTATGAGTTTTTAAAGAATTCTTAGAAATTTTAAAAACTCATCATTGGTTTATTTTGATGATTGATTAATAGTACTCATCAGAACAAACATAAAGAAACTTCCTGCCCTTAATCACTTACTACTCATGGCATGGTGACGTCATGTTTTAAGGAATAAACTGAGGTTCTTAGGGTGTTCCAGGCTATAATCTTAGTGGAACCAGGTCACCCACAATTTTTTCTAAACTACTACTACTTGGCACCAGCAGCCAAGAAATCAAAAAACGTATTGTGATGGGAAAGTCTGCTATTAGGGACCTCTCCAGGGTACTGGAGAGCAGTGGTACCACTCTGGAGACTAAGGTGCGTCTGATACAGGCTATGGTCTTTGCAATCACTTGTTATGCATCAGCGAGTTGGACAGTGACTAGGGAGGATAGAAGGAGAATTGATGCCTTTGAGCTGTGGTGCTGGAGGAGAGTATTGAATATACCATGGACTGCCAGGAAAACAAATAAATTCAACCTGGAGAGGGTTAAACCAGGATACTCCTTGGAAGCAAGGATTCTGGGGCTTCATCTGACATACTTTGGGCATGTTGCAAGGAGGGACAGGCCCTCGGAGAGGGACATCATGCTCGGGAGGTTGGAGGGCAGGCGCAGGAGGGGAAGACCCTCTATGAGGTGGATTGATTCAGTGACTGGGGTAATCGGGATGGCATTGTCAGAGGCAGTGCGATTGACACAGAACAGAGCAGAGTGTAGGGCTGTTGTTCATAGGGTCGCTATGAGTCACAAGTGACTCGACAACACATAACAACAACAACTGCTACTAGGAGGATTTGAACCTTCAGCTTTTTGATTAGCAGCTGAATGCAAGCCATCAGAGGTATATTGTATCAGAGACACTGTGACATGCTTTCTCCATACCTAAAATATAGACATTAGAGAGGGAAAAAATACTACAAAGTCTATAATACAGTAGTTGAAAGCTGCCTATGAAAAATGGAGACTAAGATTATTATATATATGTATATGCAGTTTAAATATTTAAATGAACTCAGGGTAATCATCAAGACTTTTCATCTATTATTTAATATTTTGAAAATTCAAGCTAACATCTTAAGGATAAATAACAGATTGATACTCTTAATTGTGCTAAAACATTAAAATGTTTGTGTTTATTTTTCATAGGTTCAGATCAGAAAGCTGTAATGCATTCCAAATCCTCTCCTACAATCACTCTGAGATTTGAAAGTGGGCCTGGTGCAGTAGTACACTCTTTGCTTGCAGAAAAAAATGGCTATCTCCAATGCCATATAGTAGATTTTAGCACTGAGTTTCTAACGTCTACTCTTATGAATATTCAACATTTTTTGGAAGATGAAACTATTGCAACAGTGATGCCAATGAAGATACAAATTTCCAACACAAAAATAAATTTAAAAGTATGTTAATGTCTGTTTGTATTGTCATATCCTAAATGCTCGCTTTACCTACCTGGACTTCTGATTCATATCTAAGAATGTACTTTCTCTGAAGTAGATGTTTCTATCAGCATTAATTAAGATAGAGTTTATGGGGAAAAAAAAGATAGTGCCTATGGTAAATTACATAGCCTTCTTGTAAGTCAGAGAATGTCAGATAGAACAGGCAGTTTTCTCACTGAATATACCTTCTTGCTAAAACATGTAGTGATGTATTTCTTACCTGCTCCTTAAAATTTTTTTTACTAATGTTTAAGAAAATGATTATTTTAATTTTCTCGCTTATTTTAAGAACAACGTGCAAATACTGTTTCTCTTTCCTGTAGGATGACAGTCCACGTAGTAGTACGATATCCCTTGAACCAGAGCCTGTAATTGTCCATATTGATCACCTTGTAGTAGAAAGAAATGATGATGGCTCTTTTCGTATTAGAGGTATGTATATATGATGATTAGCTGCTGACATTTCTAAGTTGAATTGTTTTTGTTTTGATTCTTTAGTTTTCATTCAAGCTTATGGCTAATATTGATGCATATCGTTAATACAATAGTGGAAGATTACAAGATTATTTCAGTACGTTATAATGAAATAGCTATGTTTGGACCTGTCTCTCAAAAGAACTCATCTACATTGCCCATTGTACAAATGTATTTTGAGTGAAAGTAAGAAAGGATTTCTTAATCTTACAGACTTATCTCCTTTGTTAGCTTTATTTCACTTGGCTCCTTTTTAAATACATGTAACTAAATGAGCATACCCCTTGTAGTTCTTCATCTCCATGTTATTTGCCTTGTCATGAACACTCATTAGAATTGCTCATGCTCTGGTGAATTTGGTCCCTCTTCTTAAGGTTTTCTCAATTTTCTTTTTTTTCTATAATTATATTTTATTAATTTTCATAAACATTTACAGAGATTTTGGGCTTCCACTCATTCATTGTTGCACTATTCTCTCTACCCTCCTCCCAGTTCTTTTCTATAATAATGTAGTTTTTTCTTTAAAATTTATTCTCTAACAAAATATTTTTAAGTCTGTAATATTAGTATCTTTTAAGGTAGCATGGAAAGACAACAAACAAACAAACACATCAGTAGTAGTATAAATGTTTTAGACCTCATTCTAGTAATAGCTAGTTGAGGGTAAAAGATGGGGGACTGGTAATGCTTTTGTTTTACCTTCTTTAAAATCTCTGTGAAATGACAGAACATATATAAAAAAAAATAAGATCACATTGACACATGTTTTCATTTTATTTTAATATCTTTTTAGTTATTTCTATAATTATTGTTAAAAGTCTTACCAGATAAATATTATTATTGTTATGTGCCATCGAGTCACCTACAACTTATAACAACCCTATGCACAATAGCTCTAAACATTGCCTTATCCTGAGCCAATCCCACTATTTCTAACACACCTACCACCTTTACCCCAGTTACTGTGTCTTTCAGTCTCATGTAGTGCTGTCCCCTCCACCTTTCCAACCACCTTTCTCCAAGTACTGGTCCCTCCTGTCCATATGCTCAAAGTATCTGAGACCGAGCTTCAAAATCTTTGCTTCCGTAGAGCAACAAATAAACATTAACTTACTAGAATTAGCTTTAAATTTGTACTGACATGCTATCTATATCAATGAAATACAGAAATGTTAATCCTATGTAGTATGCATCTTTTCCCCTTGTAATTAATTTTAAATTGGGGATCAGAGAGGGTATTAAGGGTTTTTTATTTGCCTAAAGCAAACAGATTTGTCTTGAAGAGGTGAAACCAAGTTTCTCTTTTAAGGCTAAGATTTTTAAGCTCTATCTCACTTAGTTGGGGTACATGGCCAGGAGGGTCTGGTCCTTGGAGAATGACATCATGCTTGGAAGGGTAGAAGGACAGAGGAGGAGAGGAATACCCTTGATGAGATGGTTTGACACAGTAACTAAGGCAGTGGGGGTAGTTGTGTTGGATTCAATGAGACTGGCAGGACAGGGAGGCTTCAGAGCTGTTGTACATAGGGTTGCTATGAATTACAGGCACATGTTGGCACATGACAACAATTCCATTCCTCAGATTCCACATTGTTCTCTACCCTTAAGTGTATGTGAGATTTTCTGGCATATAATTATTTTTTTTTTAGTTAGCATAAATGGATCTCCATTTCTTTTGCAAGGTGGACATATATTTACATCAACTCAAGGAAAAGCGAGAAAAGTCTATAATCATCCAAAATTTGTTGTATTAAATCTAATATGTATCATAATTGCATCTTTTTTCTTTTTTAAAAATGAAACCTCTAAGAATCTTAATACTAACTTTGTTCTTGCACATTTTACAGGTTTATTTTATGTACTTGCACTCATTTTACATTCCTAACAAACAAGAAATATACTTTTAATAATTATAATACTCAGTGTAAATTTTTGTAAGTTTATTTTTTGTATTCTTTTATCAGGGAAGACAAAAGCACAGCATCAAATTTCTACTTTTTCTTTTGTACACCTCACAGCCCACTTGGTTTGGGCAGCTGTTATCAGTAATCAGAGTTAATGTTACCTGTGTTGTATCATTGTTCACATAATAATATATACTCATTTACAAATAATGTTTTACAATAGAAATTTGTCAAGTATGGAAGCCAGTTCATCTGAGCATTTTGTTTGATCAGATTCTCAGATAATTAACACTGGAAGTGACTGGGAAGAGAGTGATTCGGTGTCCCTGACCCATGGCAGTCGTGACCTTAAGAAGCACCAAAGTGTCACTCAGACCACTCAAACAAGTCCAGAGGTTCATTGCTCTTCTCAGAACTTGACTAAGGAACAGGTAAAAATAGTATTAAGCATTAGCAATTAAAATTGTTAAGTATAAATTTTGAAATAGTGAAAATACTGGTTTTATAAGTCATGCTTATTGAGCCCACGGATGGTGCTAGAAGCCATACATACAGTACTGCTTTCTGCTCAGCTTTCCTAGAAGATGAAGTCTAGTGAGAAAATGCTCTTAAAAACTCAGACTCATTGTCGTAGAGTCAGTTCAAACTCACAGTTGACCCTTCATTATATTTCCGAAGATGAAATTGCATGGGAGGAGACTGCCTATGCGAGGGTGCCTGCGTGGCCACTGGTGGATTTGAACCACCAGAGCAGCGTGGCTGTGAACTAGCACCACAGCTTGCTGTGTATTATGCCAGCCAGTCTCCCCACTGAGGAAGTAGAGGACTAAGTAGGGGGCTGTGGCTGAGGGAGGGCAGGAGGGTCTAACCCCAGCAATTGCAAAATAGGGAGACTTCCTGCAGGATAGACTCATTTCAGTATTTTAAAGTATTGTAGTAATTCAGAACCTTTGAGGAGCTATTTTAAAATATAGAGAGTAACTTCAATACCTCCTGTGGACAGGGAGCTCTGGTAGCCTAGTAATGAGAAGCTGCACTGCAGTCACAAAAGCACATGGTGCAAATCCTCCAGCTGCATCATGGGAAGGAAGATGGGTGGTTCCCTCACATGTGATTTACTGCCTCTGAAAACCTGCTGGAGTGTCAGCTATGACTCAGTTCCAATTCAATGGCACACAACAACAGCAGCAATGGGCACAGGGGTTACAGTGCTTGCTTGATAATTGGTCAGAAGTTTAAACCCTTCAGTGGTTCTGATCATTCTGCAGGAAGAAGATAGGGCAGTCTGTCTGCTTCGGTAAAGATTCACCGTCTTGGAACTCTCAAAGGCAGTTCTCTGTCCTGTAGTCTATCCTATAGAGCTGCTATGGGTTGAAATCAACCTAAGCTTAATCTCCTGTAGTGCAGTCAGTATATTTGTGTACTTTACTCTTAGGCTTTTTTTTCCTTTAAAAAAATTTACAACATAATGTGTATATTATTTTTGGACTGCCAGGTGAACAAACAGGTTTATCCTAGAGTGGGTGAAGGCAGGCTGCTCCTTGGAGGCAAGGATTCTGAGACTTCATCTGACATACTTTGGGCATGTTGCAAGGAGGGACTCATCCTTGGAGGGGATATTGTACTTGGAAGGATGGAGGGACAGAGAAAGAGGGAGACCATCGACATGATGGATTGATTCAGTGACTAGGTTAAGGAGGATAGGTGTGTTGGAGACAATAAAGTTGGCACAGGAGAGAGCAGGTTTTAGGGCTGTTTTACACAGGGTTGCTAACATTTGTTTTCATTTCAGTTGCTTCTGATTTTTTGCTATTGCACATGAAAATGTTCATCAGAGTTTTATTTCCGTATGATAGTAACACAGTGCATCCATTCTTCTGTTCAATCAGGATTAGTTAGGTGCCAGTTCTGGTTTGAACAGTACACTGTTTGTATCTGCTGCAGAACTCTGGAATGGGGAAGGCAGAAGTGTGCATTTGGTGATCACAGCATTCTGTGTCAAGTGTTATGCTAGAGATAGGGGAAGTACAGGGAAATAAAGGCAAGTTGTTCAAACTCACCAGCTGCTCCTAAAGAGAAAGATGGACAGTTTCTTCCTGTGCAGTTTACAGCCTCTGAAAACTCCTGCAAGAGTCCATTTTGACAGTTCTTACTCCATAGCAATTAAGTTTGGGGGTTGTTTTGGTTTGGGGTTGGGGTTTTTTTTCCCCACCTGTGAATTTAATTGAGGTAGCTGAGGGATAGATGTCTTTGAGCTGTGGTGCTGGAGAAGAGTATTGAGAATACCATGGACTGCTAGGAAGACAAACAGATTTGTCCTGGAAAGAGTTAAACCGGGTGGCTCCTTGGAAGCAAGGATTCTGAGGCTCCGTCTAACATACTTTGGACATGTTGTGAGGAGAGACCGGTCCTTAGAGAGAGACATCATGCTTGGGAGGGTGGAGGGACAGCGCAGGAGAGGAAGGCCCTCTATGAGGTGGATTGATTCAGTGACTGGGATAATTTGGGATGAGAGTATCAGAGACAGTGCAATTGGCACAGGACAGAGCGGAGTTTAGGGCTGTTGTACATAGGGTCGCTATGAGTCGCAAGTGACTCGACGGCATATAACAACAACAACAAACAGCTGAGGGATGGCTCTAAACACACACACACAAACACACACACACACACACAACCCAACGACAAGCATTTGAGTTGAGTCTTAAAAGAGTAAAAGAGGAATGTAATATTTGTCCTTTTGTGACTAATATTTCACTCAGTATAAAGTCCTCCAGGATCATCCATTGCATATAATATTTCATGAGTTCCTTGTTTTTCAGTGCTGCATAGTACTCCATTGTGTGACTTTAGTGCAGTTTCTCAGTCTGTTTGTTTGTTGATGGGCACATGTGTTGTTTCAGTTCCTTTGCTGTCTGCTTGGGTGGCAGTTCTGGTTTCTTTATGGTATATTTCCAGTAGTGGAATTTCTAGGTCAAATGGTATTTCTGTTTCCAACTTTTTGAGAAAGCATCAAACTGCCTTCCAGAGTGGTTGCACCATTTTACACTTCCACCAACAGTGAATAAGGGTTCCAGTTTCTCCACAACCTCGCCAGCATTTGTTGTTTGCTGCTCTGCTGAATTTTGCTGTTGTTACTGGGGTGAGATGATTTCTCATATTTGTTGCATAATGCTACTGTTGTAAATCAGGACTGACATCGAGGTTGGGAGAAACTAAGACAAAAGGGATAAATAATGTGCACTGCATGGAAACAGGTGAGGGAAAGAACTGCTTAAAAAGAATGTGTGATTAGGTATTATGTGTATAGCAGTCCAGAATAAGAGCTGCATTGTAAAGTGGACTAGGGTAGGGGTGGGGAATTGGACAACAATGACAGATTTTTTTAAATTTTTTTTTCAAAGAGAAAAGCAAACTGGAGTTGGGAGGGACAGGGAAGAAATTGTGCAACAATGAATTAATAGAAATCCAGGCTCTCTCTAAATTTTCATTAAAATCTCAATTAAAAAAAGAGGAATGGCCATCTCAATGAATAATCTAACCAGACTGTTCAGAAGCTCAGGAGAAAAGGCTGTACTGTGTCAAGTTATTGATATCTTGTTAGAGGTGGAGTTATAAGCTTTATGAGATCATTCCAGACTACAGTGACAAAAGGAGATGGCCTATGAAATCTTAAAGAATATCAGAGGTTTTGTTTGTTTGAGTAAGGTGGAGCCAACAGGGGAAAAGATGAAGAAACCAGAGCAGTGAAAGTTGAACACAAAAGAAGTCCAGCCTAAAAGCCCAAGAAGGAAGAGTAAATGTCTGCAAAATCTAAAGCTACAGAGGGGTCCAGGAATAAAAATGAAAATTCAGCAAAGTAACTATTGACGGGTCAAGTTAGAAGTCAGTAATCTTTTCGAGTTACTGGTTCAGAGCCTGTGAATTTTATGGGCATGTGTATTTCTATAAAATTTCCTAAAGCAATCTTCAGTTTAATTGCACCCTTCCCAGTGCCAGATATTTTCATTATTTCAAATGTTGTAGTTTTGAAAACCGTTTTAATAGTCTATAAATATTTTCAGAAAATCATTCACTTATTTTCCAAACTTCTGGTTTCAGCTCCTGGAGGAAAATGAATTTCTTAAACAGGAACTGGCTAAAGCTAAAATGGCTCTTGCCGAGGCTCACTTGGAAAAAGAGGCTCTTCTCCATCAAATAAAGAAGATGTCAGTCGAATAGCAGGAATGCCACCCAAGCACTCAAATTCTAGTTCTGGAATAGGAAGTTTATATTCACAATGTGAGTGTTACCAATTAATGGAAGAGTCTCCTTTTCATGAAAAGACAATAAAATGAAATGGAATGTGGTGAAGTGGTTACTGTTCCAAAAGCAGTTTAAAAAGTATTCGGTATAGGTATTACAGTCTTTTGGTTGTTATGTTTTTAGGGTTTAACCCTCTTTTTAATTGGTGTGACCTGGGAAGTCTACTCATACTGTAAAATAATTACACGCTAATGGCAAGAAGATGTCATTTCCTAATTTTGATATCACTATAGGCATTTATGAAAATAGTTGTGCTCACACCAATTGCTGAATCTCTTTCTCACTATTTGTTAATAAGTCATTGTTATTTACAAAGATTCAATGGTTTTAGGGCTAATGTAAAATAAAAAGAAGGCTGCATTTTAAATGTTAACAAAAATAATGTACTTAAGTCTATATTTAATTACTGTAAAAAAACCGGTGAAATTAATAAATAATATAAATACTGGGTTTGAACACTCAGAGACATCATCACCCTGCTGAATTATGAAGTAACTTGAAAATGTGAAAAAAGAATTTTAAATGATGGTAAACTTTATAACTTGAAGATATGGTTTGCAACATAAGAATGGTACAATTGTAAAAATAAAAAGCACAAACTGTAAAAAAAAGCAAAATATCAAGAGTATATATGGTCAAATGATTTAAAATTTATTACTTATACATTCCTTAAAACATTTACTACTAGACATAAAAGAATAATTTAACTGTCCTGCTAAATTTGGTAGTATTTGTAATTGTATAAATTTTAATTAATACTATTTATATTCATTTTTTGCCTTCATCGTTCCTCCTTAAAGGGGAATGTTTTTCAGAGAATTTTCTTTGCACACATTAAACAATTTCATACCGTTCTTATAGTACCAAATTAGGTGGGTATTTGCTCATACTGAATTTATAAAGTTAGCTTTGATTAATGTTCTATGTGACATGTACAATCTTCTATAAATGGAATAATTGATAAAATTTGAAATCTATTTTCTAGGGATTGTTGAAGTTGGAATTAACATGAGAGAATCTCAATTGTGTTATAAAATGAAAGTAATGAGTGTTTAAAAACTAGCCTTTTTAAAAAAGATTTACAATATATTTCTGATAGATTTAAACTTAGTGGGGTCTATTTTAAAATTCATATTCTTAAATATATCTAAGATAAACATCAAACAGCTGGATTATCATTTCATTAAGATACTTGAAAATTCTAAGCTCATTGAGACACTTTCTGGTGCTTTGCTTGCTCAGCATGATTTATAATAGCCATCCCTCTATCTGAGATCTTTTGGAGAAATAGTATTTACATTGTGTTGGAATGATATAAATGTTTATTTACACAGTACTGGCCTCATTAAACCCCTTTCTATAATACCAATTCCATGGACGACATCATTAGGAAAAACTGACACTTTCTCAAGAGCTGAGAATACAGTGAAGAACAGATTAAATTGTTAGTGTTTTACCTCAGTATTTAAAAAAAAATCAACCATGTTCAGTTTTGAACTATAGAAGAGCCTTAGTTTAAATGCAGTGCAAAGGTCTAATTAGATTAAAAATGTATGTCCTTATGCCCATCATAGAGTACCAATCTTTATTAATGGGAATGCAGGAAACATACTTGGTCTTCCCCTTAAAAAATCATATAAGTAGTAAAGAAAATGAGTAAGAAGGATCTGAGCATTCTATATATGGTATTGGATTTCTTTTTAATTTATAAGAAATACTATTTTAATTTATAAGAAATAATATTTTTATAGAGATTTAAAACTCCCAAGGCACTTTGAAAAACACTGTCTCATAATTTCCAGAACTTAATTATGAAGTAGATGGTGGTTGTTGATACGTTAAGTCAGAACTGACTCATTGCTGAACTTTCAGTGGGTTTTTAGAAGCTGTAAATTGCATAAGAGGAGATTACCCATCTTTCCCCTGTGAAGCAGACGGTGAATTTGAACTATCTGTACATTTTAGCAATTAAAATAAAAATTAAACAAGTATCTTTAAACTCAGGACACGTGACTTGACTAAAATGACAATTAGTAACCTCTCTTTTAACTCAAAGTCCAGTTTATGTTTTATTTTAGTTTAATCATAACTTCACAGATTTTTCTTTTTTGTGGAAGGATTCATGTAATGTATTTTATGTCTCCTTTTAAAGATGAATATAATGTGTGTAGAGGATGTAAATGGTAGGATATGTTTATATATTCAAACACTCAAAAAAAAAAAGAAAGGATAGTTTTTACTTAACCCCAGATCTTAACAAGAAATATAGGAATAAACCTAGTATTATACTTAATAGGGTTTTTTAATGGCTGTAGATTAGAAATAACTGAAGTTTTCTTTGTCTAAATTTCTTTAAGAGAAATATTAATGATTTAGGGAATGGTCATCTGAAAAAACATGTTTTTGATATTTATTTTGTTTTCTCATCCTGTCCTAGAAGTTCAAAAGACCCATGTGCCACTACTAGTTGTGATAAGGCACTACTTTTATTTAAGCCCTGTACTAGTGGTTATGCATGATTGCAGGCAAATATATGTGAGAAAATTTGCCAGAAACTCCTTTCTGGTTTTTCATTTTAGTATTGTTTCTGTTATTCAGTGTTGGTCAGTACCAAGAATTACAGTTTCCTCTTAGTAAGTAGTTAGTAACTTCCAGTCTAATCAACGCATCTTCCCCTCTCTCTCTCTGAATTCACCCTGATTTCCAAATTAATAATGTAAATCTCATCTTGGACACCATCCTCCTCTTTGTTTGCTTTCCATAATTAAGCTCTCAGGTCCTGTCATTTTACTTTGTAAACATCTCTCAAATCTCACCACTTATCTGCCATCACTATCTTTTGCCTGCATTACTGTGTGGCCTCTTCAGCAGTCCTTGTCTGGTAGCTTGCTTTCTTTGCTCTCTCTACACTGCAGGCAGAGTGAACATTTCAAGTGCAATTTTAATCAAGCTGACCTGTCTGCCTCACTCTCACTCTTACCTTAGAACACTTTAGTGACTTTTCATTGCTTTTATAATAACAATATTTTATGTAACCTATAGGTTCTACTTTATACAGCTGCTGCTGTTGTTACAGCAAGAACAACATGAGATCTACTTTATACAGTAGTTCTGAACATTAAGTGAGTTAAATGTCTCGAGACTGAACAGTAGCCTGCATATCCTCTATAAAGCACTCAATCGAGGCCAGCTGTTACTAATACCACTTTGCCTCATTTTACTCCCTGTTTTACTTTGTACTCTGCCTTGATTGCTTTTCTTTCAGCATCAGGAGTAAGACTGAAGTGTTCCACTGGACCTTTGTTTACCCTGTTCCTTTATCTTGAAATTTCCCTCCTCATTGCCTAGTCAATTTGTGTTTTTCTTTTACATCTCAGCTCATTACTTTCTTCCTCAGGGAAGCAGCCTCAAATTCCCGACAGATTTAAGATCTCCTATTATACATTTTTCATAACCACACAACTCTCTCTCAGCATTGAACACCATTATAGTTTTATATATATTTGTTTCATTAATGACAGACCCACTAGATTGTAAACTCCAGGAAGACAGGAACTGTGTCTTTGTTGTTATTGTTCAACTTTGTATTTCCTATGCCTAATACAGTGCCTGGCACATAGTAGGTGCTCAATAAACTTGATGAAAGAAAAAAATGAGTGGATGAAGTAACAAGGTTATTTTTCAGGTTTGAATGGTGGGATAAGGGGAAATTAGAATTCTCTTCTTCTTGTTTGATGAAGGAGAAATATAGAGAGAATAGTTGGTGTTAATTAATAGACAGGGATAAACACTGAGTCCACAATAAAAGGAAAGGTGAGTAGTGGGGAGATTTGCAAAACATTATTTAAAACTACTGTAATAGATACCACAAATAGATGTCTTTAACAACAAATCCAGCCTCTCACAGTTTTAGAGGCTGGAAGTCCAAATTTAGAATGAAGGAGATGGCTCTTGGTCTGTTTCCTTCAGAATCTGTAGATCTGGCATTCCTTAGAAAATGCCTTATGTCTTGGCCACCTCCTGTGTTAAGAAACTTCCCTAGCCAAGGGACCTTCATCCAAAGGATGTGTCCTTGAGGTGTCCTTTCTTGATGGTACTGAGCTCCTTTTCTCTGCTGTTCTCTTGAAATTGTCACACCCCAGGTAAACTCCCTTTTCATCAAGTCAAGAATGTGATCCAAGGATATTGCCTCCTGTCCTAATGGCACTGAAGGAGCATATCTCAGATCACATCATAGGAAGGACTACATCATTACCCAGCTGCCTCTCATCTCACCTCATTAACATCACAGAGATTAGAATTTACACTACATAGGATAATTACATTGTCCTGAAAATCATAGAATTACATATTTGTGGAGGGGCAAGGGTAACGACATGATTCAACCTGTAACACTGTTCTACCGAATTTTAATCATCAGGGCTTTTAGGTGATTTGTGACAATCATAGAAAAATTAGTACACTGCTTCGTGGTATTGCTACGCTACCAGGATGTCACCTGGCTTTGATTGTAAGTAACCTCCATTGTTGTGGCCATCAAGATCTGCCAGTTTCACCGGCTTCACAGAATGAACGTTAGACAAAAGAGTAGTGGCTGATCCAGTTTCTCTGGAAACTGATTGATGCTCGGTAGGTGTCAGTTGTGCCTAATTCCCTCAAGTGCAATCTCAGTTTAGCTTGCACCTTGACTCCAGGTGCATCGGACTAGAATTGCATTCCATAGAATTTTTAGGACTATGAGCTTCCAGAAGCATATTGCCAGGCTGTTTTTCTGAGCAACTTCAGGGCGGGCTCAGACTGCTCTTTTTAGTCAAGTTTTTACCAATTTACATCACCGTTATTGCCTCTGACTCAGAGCTAACCATCCAGTGGGATTTCAGAGGCTGCAAATAACAAGTGAGAAGATTGCCTATCTT